GGTAACGGCCCGCAGGGCGGCGGCGCGCGGGGAGGAGCCAGTGTGTGCAGCCCCGCCGGGCCCGTGGCCGACCGGGAGAAGCGGTCCCGGGGCTGGGGCTGCCGGTGGCTTAGCTCTTCAGCCGCCGTTCGCCTGCCGGAGCTGGGAGCCGACTTCCCGCGCCTGCTTCAGCTTCGTCTCCTCCGTGAGGGGTGCTCGGAGGACGCGCGTCCTCGGCAGGGGTCAGGCGAAGCCGGGCAGACACGAAACGGGCCCCAGACCCTGCTGGGCTCACTCCTTTCCCTGCTTTTTCCTCCTCAAACCACAAACTCGCTGGTTTTACTGGAACTCTAGCATTGAACGTTTAGGTCAGAGAATACATATTAACCTGTGATTGGGGCTTATAAAACATGCTTTTGGGGAAAGTGCTGGGCTGGATGTCTTTTTCATATTGCATGTTTTTGTAGCTATTCTAAGCGTGGTATTTTCAGCCCTTCAGTGGCATTTCTCTTCCATCTCACTTTACCGTTTGCGATTTTTCTCATTCTTGGGGTAGTGATTTAGATCCAGAAATCTAGCTTTTCTTGGGAACTGCCCGCCGATGTGGTTGCAATCAGTTCTGTGTTTAAATCTCCTTTTATGTCTGCTGTTTTACCACTTTCAGCCTTGGTGTCTTTATCTGAGAACCAAGACGCATGGTACCAAGCCCCTGGATAACAGCATTTGACAGCATCTCTGACACAGCATGTTACATACAGCGACCCACGGAGGTTTCCCTTCATGAAGGACAGTCTCTTACTGTAGGTTTCTTGGGGGAAAAAAATCTAGAAGTCATCAAATGTACAGGGAAGGTTATATGGAAAGTATATTTAATTGACATTAGATATGTGGGAATTGACAGAAGTACAGTACTACTGGTTTTTTGTTTTTGTTTTTCTTTTTTGGCGGCTGGCGTGTATGGGGATCTGAACCCGTAACCTTGGTGTTAGCACCACGCCCTTCCAAGTGAGCTAACCCAGTCAGCCCCTGCTAGTGTTTTTGTTAATGATTGTAAACACGAAGATAATTTATCATTGGTGGTATTTGATGTCAGTGAGGAAATCATTACAGATAAGTGAAACTGTTCAGGGGATTTAAAAGGTGGAAAAGACATTGTTTTGGTAAGGTCTATCCCTCTGTTGTATCAGCTTGTCATTTTATAATTGAACTTTCTTATCTGTCTGTGATAATACACTTTGCTGGTAGCAATTTTTACTTTTTTTTTTTTTTTAACCTCTGTTGTGGGAATTTATTATCCTCTTCAAACTACTGAGTTTTCTTTATGTTACCATATTTTCGAAACTCAATTTGCACATTAAGACGACTTTAGTGTAAGACTTTTTGAGAAAATATTGTTTTAAAGAAGTTGAATGTTTAAAAAAAGCCTGGATTTTAGTTTTCCAAAGGTTGCTGTTGATATTTCATATAGCAACTGTTTTTTATAAGAAGAGCTTATTTAAAGGTGCTCTAGAAGGGAGTTTGTTCCCTCATATATGCCAAGCATCTAGAATAGTGCTTGGCACATCATAGGTCTTCAATAAATAGTTGTGCTTATAGAGTGAGCTTGAAGTTGTGGTTGATAGCAAGTAAGTTTGCTTGTAAAGAAAAAATTACTGTACCAGCCAGCCATCATTTAAGGAGTCAATATCTCTTCTAGTAAATATAGGGGCCGGCCCGTGGCTCACTTGGGAGAGTGTGGTGCTGATAACACTAAGGCCACGGGTTCGGATCCCTACATAGGGATGGCCGGTTAGCTCAGTTGGGAGAGCGTGGTGCTGACACCACCAAGTTAAGGGTTTAGATCCCCCTTACCAGTCATCTTTTGAGAAAAAAAAAAAAAAAAAAAAAAAGATGTGTGTATGTGTGTGTGTGTGTGTGTGTGTGTAGGCAAATGTTAGCATTCTTTGAACTTCAGTGTGTCACATTTAAATTCCTTATTACTTAAGAGATAATATAAATTAAAAAAACAAGAAAACAGCATGAGTAAAACCCCATACACTGGGATTTTTAGAAAGTTACTCTGAGAAAGGTACTCTGTATTGTATGGATCCAACTCTGGCTTCCAGCCTTGTAATCCATGTTGTGAAGGGACAGGGCTCTGCCCTGAAGGACTTGGTCTCCCATGTGTACCACAGTGCAGAAATTTCCCAGGGTTTTTAAAGAGAGATGAGCACTTAGCAGGGAAATATGCTTGCACTTTTGAAATGTGCTCTAGGATTTACACATTTCAGTTTTACAAAACTCTGAAAGGGGAGAGACAAGAAACATTTTGGAGTTACAAGCATGAAACTTAAA